CAATTTAATGAGCTGATGGCGACAGTGAAAAACCTGCATCCCTTGACCCTAAGCTCGTCCGGGGATAAGGAAGTGGAACCTCTGCCACTTTGTTTCATTGCAAACCTTATGGTAAAAGGTTTTTGGTTTTATTTTGGCCCCATCTCCAGGCTTTTCAACTGAAAGTTAAGGAGCAAGGTGCCATAACTCTCTGGGCACTGGCTGGGCAAACCTTGAAGCAACAGAAATACATGGCAGAGCAAATCGGGTACAACCTTATTATAGATATGCTTCTCTCGCCCTCGGATAAAATGCAGTGTGTCGGTAAGTCGTAATAATTCATAATTATCATATGGCAGTGTGTGCAGTATAGCCAGGAGATCCTAAGATTGTCTGGCAGCCAGAAGTTCTGGCTCTTTTAGCGTGATGCACCACTAGGTGGCGAGCTAGTCTTGTTTTTGAGGCAAGAGATGTTTCAGAGGTGGTTTGCCGTTGCCTGGCTCTGCGTCATGCCCCTGGTATTCCTTGGAGGTCTCCTATCCAGATACTAGCCAAGGCCGACCCTGCTTAACTTCTGAGATCTTATGAGGCTATCCTGGACCATCCAGGTCAGGCTGTGTCAGTAAGTCTCTGTGTGGGACTGCCCTTGAAGACTGTCCAGAAGCTGCAGTTGGTACAGAAAGCTGTGGCCAGAGTGTTGACTGGAGCGGGTCACAGGACATCTCACTCCAGTCTTGTTGTATCTACACTGGCTTCCAATTTGCTTCCTGGCCCAAGTCAAGGGGCTGTTATTGACCTTGAAAGCCCTGTATAGCCTGGGACCAACATTCCTTAAGGACTGCCCACTGCCTTATGAACCTGCCAGTTCATTCTGGTCATGCTTCGGTTATTCCCACCATCTTGTTGGGTAAAAATAAGGCACAGAGACTGGAGTTGTTAATCAAAATAAGGGCTCTGGTCACATGGGTTGGAAAATGTGGTGTGGGGGGAATGGCCATTAGCGTCGGAGCAAAGTAAAGCACGGCAGCCCAATCACATGTCCCAACGAGGTCCTGTGGTTAGGCCGTTAGGTGCCGATCACACGGCTATCCTGCAGCGCGCCAAAGAAACGGTGCAGCGCGATCACACCAGCAATCGCTAGGCGCCGCTTCCGTGGCAAATGGGAATATTGTTTTCTCGCCGAAGTTTGCGCATGTTCGTTTGTTCGCATCCTGTGGAGACTTACAAAAAACCCGAAACATCCAGTTTGTGACGGGACATGGACGGGCGCCGGATGCCATGGGATTCACGCGGAAACGCGATCAGATGCCCGCCTTTGCCCCGCGTTTTCCAGAAACTAGTACCTCGTATGTGGTAGTTTTTTACTCCGCATCTTCGGCGAGCATCCACGGGTTAGCCACGGGTGCACTACGCTTCCCAGATGTCGCGGTGGGATCGCGCCCGGAAAATCCGCCTATCATCTGTGTCTTCAGTGTGGCAACTTCTCCGTGTGAATGGAGCCAAGGTTCTTTATCTGAATCTATTAGGAAGAGGGAAAACAGGAAAGTTCTAATAAAATAACAAACTCCTAAAAACTACATATTTATACAGCAAAGTAGGCTGATACATACATAAGAACATAATAGAAGCCAATGTTGGATCAGGACAATGGCCCGTCCAGTCCAACACTCTGTCACACAGTGGCCAAAAATAACAGGTGCCACAAGTCTCTAAGAGGGAAAAGGTAAAAACCTGGGGCGAGGCTGCTGAGTTAGTAACCTCTCTTCTAGAACCTTAACAGGAAGAAGCTCAAGCTCATTGGCCAGTCCAAACACTGGTAAATTAAAAGCATCCAATCAGTTTCTCAGACACACCAATTAGCATAAAGGATTGGCTTTGAGCCAGGTTGCACTTCCAGGTCAGGTCTCTGGTAGACGCATAACAAATGTGTTAACCCTATAATGACTGAAATTTAGATCTTGCCATATCCCAACACATCTGAGGCTAGATGGGTGGCAACCCAAGAAAGGGCCTTCTTGGCCATGGCCCGAAACTTTGGAACTCCCTCCCCGAGGAGATTGGTCTGTTTCTTTCTATCAGTGTCTTCAGACAACGGGTGAAGACTTTCACCCCCCCTTTTGGCATACCCCCATTAACAGTTCCTGGCCCTGTTCCCTGGTTCTGATGTTGTTTGTTTAAGTGTTTTTATTGAATTGTTTTGTGATTCTAATGCTGTTTTTAATTGTTCTAATATGTTAAATTTTATGTGCACCACCCTGGGGACCCTGATTGGGTGGGAAAAAATGTTTTAAATAAGTAAGGCATCTCTTGTTCTGAGGGGAGGATATGATTCTGCAAAACCAACCAGCTAGCCAACATCCAACATGACACACCAGGCTCTCAAATATGTGTGTGTGGCCCCGCTGGTGGACCTCTTGATGGCCCCTGGGTTTTGGCCACTGTGTGACACAGAGTGTTGGACTGGAGGGGCCACTGGCCTGATCCAACATTGGCTTCTCTTATATTCTTATGTCTGGGGCAGTGATGCTCTGTATTCTTGGTGCTTGGGGGGCAAGATTGGGAGGGCTTCTGGAGTTCTGGCCCCGCTGGTGGACTTCCTGATAGGACCTGGGGGTTAGCCATTGGGTGAAACAAAGTTTTGGACTGGATGGGCCATTGGCCTGATCCAACATGGCTTCTCTTATGTTCTTATGTCTGAGGTAGTGATGCTCTGTATTCTTGGTGCTTGGGGGGGCAACAGTGGGAGGGTTTCTGGAGTTCTGGCTCTGCTGGTGGACTTCCTGATAGCACCTGGGTTTTGGCCATTGGGTGAAACAGAGTTTTGGGCTGGATTGGCTATTGGCCTGATCCAACATGGCTTCTCTTATGTTCTTATGTCTGGGGGAGTGATGCTCTGTATTCTTGGTGCTTGGGAGGGGCAACAGTGGGAGGGCTTCTGGAGTTCTGGCCCTGCTGGTGGACCTCCTGATGGCACCTGGGTTTTGGCCACTGTATGACAGTGTTGGACTGGATGGGCCACTGGCCTGATCCAGCATGGCTTCTCTTATGTTCTTAACGTGTTATCTTGGTTGTTTTGGAAGGAGGCGAAGCCGTCATCGCTCTTAGCAAGGACAGCCAAATGCATCAAAACCAAATATGCAAAGGAAATGGGATCGCCCCATTAGTTCGCCTGCTGAGGAGCTCGAGGATAGCCGAGGGAACCCTGCTGAGTATCATCCGAGCTTTGGGGACCATGTGTGTGGGTCAGTAGCCTCTTCTCCGTTGCCTGATGGTTAAGAAAAGAATGACGAGATTTTGGACACACGAGCACGTTGGAAACGTTGCCTTGAGTCCCACCAACCCACTGAGTGAAGTCCAAAGTCTCCCTCCAGTCTAAGAAGCCCTCCTCCCCATTAAGTGGCTCGTGTGTTTCAGAGGGTAGTTCCAGAGGGCAGCCATGTTGGTTTGCAGTAGAAAAAGTAAGTTCTTGTCCAGTAGCACCTTAGAGACAAAAAATTTTTTTGGGGGGGGGGGTATAAGCACTCTTGATGAAGGGAGCTTTGACTCTCAAAAACTCATACCCTGAAAGTCCTCTTGGGTTGCGGTCACATGCGCCAGATGAAGCAGAGGGGAAGCGAGGCCGTTTCCTCCAGAGGGATTTGACCCACAGTTGCACAATCACACAGTCCTTGGAAGCTGTGGGCACAGCCCATCACTGCGTGATCAGATGCAACTGCGGGTGAGTTGGGGTGGTTTTTTTTTTGCTGTTTGTTTCCCATGCGCATAAACGAGGAATCGATTAATCGCACCTCCGCACCAAAGAAGAAGAGAAGAAGAGATTGGATTTATACCCCGCCCTTCACTTGGAGTCTCAGAGCGGCTTACAAACTCCTTTCCCTTCCCCTCCCCACAACAGAAAACCCTGTGAGGTAGGTGGGGCTGAGAGAGCTCTGACAGAAACTGCTCTTTTTCAAGGACAGCTGTGCCAGAGCTTGTGACTGACCCAAGGTCACATCAGCAGGTGCAAGTGGAGGAGGAGTGGGGAATCAAACCCGGTTCTCCCAGATTAGGCTCCGCACACTTAACCACTACACCAAACTGGCTCACACTTAACCACTACACCAAACCGAGGGCTCCCTGTGGAGTTTGCGATGATGCACATACTGGGAAGGGGGGGGGGGACAAGGCACGGAGTTGGGATGGCCTGATCAGACCATCCCGACGCCATGAGAGCGCGCTGGAGCAATCAGACATGGGAAAGTCTGTCTGTGACCCGTCACAACCCGTTAACGACCGGATTTCCCCTGGTGTCTTTTAACTCCGCTTCTGCGGCAGAGGAGAACGGGTTGCCGACGGCTGCGGGGCGCTTCCCAGATGTTGTTGTCTGATCGTGCCCTTTAAATCTGCCCGACATTCGTGCCTATGGTGGGTCTAATTGTGCGTATGATCGCAGCCTTGGTCTCTAAGGTGCTATTGGACTTGTATCTATCCATTGGATACGGTTGCCAGACCCCCCCCCCAGTGGAGGCAGGGGTCCCCTGCTGCTAGGCATTACTGCCCTGCCACCAATCCGCTGGCTGGAGGGGGGAACTTACCCTGAAAAAGAGGGAAATCCTTCCGATGTGCAGCAATGTTTCTATGATACCGCCTATGTGACCCAGAAGTGACGTTATCACGTCGGGGTCGTTGAGAAGACGCTCTGGTATTTGGGCAAAAACTCTATGATAGAAGCCAAATTTATCATAGAGCTTTTGCCCAAATACCAGAGCATCACCCCGACGTCCTGGAAGTGATGACACCACTTCCGGGTCACGTGGCCAGTGATGTAGACACATTGCTGCATGTTGGATTGGCCCACATTGCTGCTCCAGTTAAGTCCCCCCACATGCCCTGCAGGTTGGCAGGAGGGACCTGCCAACACCCCTACAGGCTTTTAAAATCCGGACTCTTCAGCCCTGCTAACTGCTAATTCTGTTCTAGCCAGCTGCATAGAGAATTCACCCTTGGAAGATTTATGACAGGATTCACACTTTTTACCTCAACCCCTTCCTTTTTTACAAAGAAAATGAACACCTGAAAGACGTGTGACAGATTTCACACCAACCTGTAATGCTGTTTGGAGGCGCGTGACAAATTATCAATGGGGCTCTGCCCCTTTTTGCACCACTGTGGCTACGGGCCTGTTGCTGCCCCATCTAGTTTGGCCCTAAACGTTAAGAACACAGAACTGTGACAGTTGAGCAGTTTGCTTGTGCTGACATGACATTTCTCTGTTTTTCTCTTTTATGGGTCTGTGTTTGTTACACGGGACGATGCTGTGCCTCACACGATGGGCCTTCCAGGGGAAGCTATCATCAGCAATCCAGTCAGTCAAGAGAACGTAGTGGACGAAGGGGCCTTGCCAATACTGGTGAATTTACTTCAGACTCATCATTCTCTTCAGATAAAGGTGGGCGTTGCCAACTCCGTGTTTGAAAGTTCCTGGAGATTTTGGGGGGGTGAAGCCTGCGGAGGGTGGGACTTGGAGATAACTCAACCATTTATAATGCCCTAGAATCCACCTTCCAGAGCAGCCATTTCCTCCAGAGGAACTAAGCTGAATTGTCTGGAGAGCCATTGTGATTCCAGGAGGTCTCCAGGCCCCACCTGGAGGCTGGCAATCCTGTTTGGTGTAGTGGTTAAATGTGTGGACTCTAATCCGAGAGAACCGGGTTTGATTCCCCACTCCTCCACATGCAGCTCCTGGATGACCTTGGGCAAGCCACAGTTCTCTCAGAGCTGTTTTCTCATGAGCAGTCCTCGAAAGAGCTGTCCCACCTAACTCACAGGGTGTCTGTTGTGGGGAGGGGAAGGGAAAGGAGTTTGTAAGCCACTCCAAGACTCTGAATGAAGGATGGGATATAAATCCAATCTAATCTCTTTTCTCTTCTCCTTCTTGAACACTTTTAAGACGATTTTGTGGACGGTTTCCAGTACTACTTCTGTTCCAATTCATAAGATAAAAAGAATGCTTCTTGGCAAAGTGTGATAGAAGTGAGTCATTTACGAGTAGCCAACCAGATTTAAAGTAGATATGAAAAAAGGAAAAAGCTGTTAATTTACTAGAAGTGCCTGCTGGCAGTAATGGAAGCGACAGGCAATGATAATTGTATTGTGTGCCTTCCAGTTCCCAGAAGACCGAATGAGGTTTTGCAACAGACATGGGGCTGGTGCCAAATATGGCATCTCCACTTCTCGTTCTCTCCCCCAACATCGAGAGAGAATTGCCACATCGTGTGACTCCCTTAGCAGCCAATGATGCCGAACTCTAGGGGAGAAAATTCGTAGCATGATTATATTGCGGTATTTAATGGCTTTCACCAGAAGCTACAGGAAGAGGACCAGACATCGAGACGCTGTGCTTGGCGGTGGCAGCCAATGTCTGCAGTAATACCTAATCCCACACCAAAGATGTTCTATTCCAAGAATTTAGTTTTGAAGTAACGTGGCCATGGTTGATGCTGGGGCTCTTCTAGGGTTGCCGGGTCTCCTGGTGTAGTGGGAGATCTCCCACGCCCCCCCCCCATGTTGTTGCCCACCACTGCTCAGCTGGGGCCTGTCAGGATCCCCACCAATGATGGTGTTGCTTCCAGCACGATCCAGAAGTGAAGTCAGCGTGTTGCGTGACATTCTAGCATTTGCCTCAAACTCTCTGGTTAAGAAGAAGAAGAGGAGGAGGAGGAGGAGGAGATTGGATTTATACCCTGCCCTTCACTACCCAAAGGAGTCTCAGAGTGGCTTACAAACTCCTTTCCCGCCCCCTCCCCACAACAGACACCCTGTGAGGTAAAAGAAGAAGAAGAGATTGGATTTATACCCTGCCCTTCACTACCCAAAGGAGTCTCAGAGCAGCTCACAATCTCCTTTCCCTTCCCCTCCCCTGTCAGCGAGCTGCCATTTCTCTGCTGGGACATCTCACGTCCCTTCCCTTCCCCCCCCTTGTTTTGCTCTCGTATTTTTCCTCCTCTTAGGCAACTGCTGTAACCAAGGTCGCCAGCTGGTGAGAAGTGGGAGTTATGTCTTTGCACTCATGCTTGTTTAGACTTACCCGTGTGAAATGAACTTGTGTTTAGGGAAACGGGCGTTACTTTCTCATGTACCTTTGCGCCCTTTCTAATCTCCCCGTATCCAGCGGGAAGTGGGACCATTGGTCCAAACCTTGTTCAAAATTCCTTTATTATACCTGTACTGCAGACTAACGTCATTCCAATCAATTCCTGTGTGTTCGTGATCAACCATGTCTTTGAAATAAATCTTGCTTTACTTTTGAACGTGGATCTATTCTCATGCTTGGGAGATCTAACATTTTGATTGGAATCCCATTTTCCCCCTCACCTCGAATCTGACAGAAGTCATGAGCGGGGCAGAAGGGAAACCACCATCCCAGGCGGGTGATCGGGGGGACGTCCCGGTTCCCGCCTCAGCATCGAGCTCGGTCTCGATCAGCGGTGCTGTTGGGGGAGCGATCCCTCGACACGAGACCATACCGTGGCCTCCTCCGACCCCATCGCACTGGGGCAGACCGGAGGTACGGGTTGTGGATGATTGGACTATGTTTGATACCCAGGGCACGAAAGAGACGTTTTCTCATCGTGGCAGTGGGCTCCGCGAGAGCCTAGGATCGGGGCGACAGGAGAGCAGAGAGGATCGACTGACAGAGCTGGAAAGAGCTGTGCAGGACCTAATGAGGACAGTAACCGAAGTCTTCAATGCGATACCACAGATGATGGATAATCGTATTGCGGATCGTATGAC